AACAAAAGCCAAAGTCCTAAATGCCTGTGAGTGATCTGATTTTCCTTGTCCAGGAAGTCATATTTTCTTTTTTTTTTAAGATTTTTTTTATTTATTCGTTCGAGACACAGAGATACAGAGAGAGAGAGAGAGGGAGAGCATGAGCAGGGGGAGAAGCAGAGGGAGGGGGAGTAGCAGGCTCCCCGCTGAGCAGGGAGCCCGACGCGGGGCTTGATCCCAGGACCCTGGGATCATGACCTGAGCCAAAGGCAGACGCTTAACCATCTGAGCCACCCAGGCGCCCCAAGGAAGTCATATTTTCTACCTTTGTGTTCCTCCTCTCCCACTATGAGGTTTCATTCTACCTTTAGAACTTATTACCACTTAACATACTCTGAATTCTCCTAGTATTTCTGTCCCCTACCATTAAAATGAAAGCTTCATGAAGGCAGAAGCTTGCTTGTTCACTGATAGAGCCTCAGCTTCTAGAACCCTGCCTGGCAAATTAGTATGCATGCAGTTATTTGTGAATAAATGAATGGTTGCCATTACTGTCTATATGGCTGAAGGCTAACACTACCCTTTTATTCATTAATCATATATTTGATCATCTATTATATGCCCTACACTAAGAAGATAGAATATGGAGAAAAACCTGAGTTCCAAGTCTAATATATGAGTATAAATAATAAATAGATATAAAATTATAATAGTGTAAGAATCAAGATTGGAATGTGTATGGACCTGTAGGAACAAATGATTAGGGAGCAATGACCTAGCTAAGGTCGCAAAGCCAAGGAGCCCATAGAAATTGTTCCCAAGGAAGCGATGACTGAGGTGAGATCAAAACAAAGAATAAAGGTTACTTGGACAAAGTGGTTATGGTGGCAGCAAGCGTAGGTGGGCGGACAGAGCAGAGTTGGTGCAATGGCATTGTGGTAGAGGGAGCGTGGTATGTACAAAGGGCTGAATAAAGTAGAGAGGCTTGCGGAGGGAGCCTAAGAGAGGAGAGGTTGGAGACTTACTAATTATATCTCTTTATTCTACCCAGTGATGAACATCTTAAAAATATCTTGCTTTATTCAATAGAAATCCCCCTTCTGATCTCTAAATAGGTATCAAATTGCTATCTAATTTTTATATACTTAGACTCTAGCTTCATAATCATCAAATTAAGAGCACCCAAAAGGAAAAGATAAATGAGAAAATGAATACATGCTCTGGTGAAAAATTGGCTTTGTTGATTTACGTTTTAAAAGAGCTCAATTTATCAGGATGTCTAAGGAATGGAACATTCTGATTAATTTATTTAGTTTCTAATGCCATTATTGTAACTGAGGCTTAAGAATAAAATTGCTTAAATCTTTTTAGAAAATCTTGAATAGTTTTAGCTCTTTCCTGACTAAGGGGATTGTGTCACAAAGGTTGGATGGGACATGTAGCATACATGTATATTTAAAGGCTATAAGCCTTTATATGTATATTTAATACATATATACATGTATACTTAAAGGCTATAAGCCTTCAGCTATGACCTGCTTATCCTCATAAGCCCCAAATGACTGTTTCTTATTTCCAAAAATTTTTATTACCCAACAGTCATGATATAGGAAGAGGGGCAAATAAGTTTGTTTTCATGATAACATTTGAGGACTACCATTTGCTACCTAGACACTTTCCACGCTGGGACTGCCTCTGACTAAGTAATGAAGCAGGGTCTTTCAATAAATATGCCAGGTAAGGTAAACTTAATTTGGATATTTAATCTGAGTCTTGGTCTCTGAAGTTTAGAACAAGTTTCTTGTCTTTGTTGTGTTTCAGTGAAAGTGAGCCCTAGATTTATCTGCTTAGTCCTTCGTCGCTAAAGGATAGTAGTCCTATCCTTTATGGCAGTTTTTTACCTGACCCAGAATCATACATCGCATCAGTTGTCCTCTCTTCAGCCTCCTTTAATCGGGACTAGGTCCTCAACTTTCTTTGACAGTATGGCAGTTTGTAAGAGTTTAAGGCAGTTATTTTGAGAATACCCCCCTCAACTAGGGTCCATCGGAGTGTTTCATCATTGTTTGATCCACATTATGCACATTGGGCAGGTTACCACAGAAATGCTGTGTCCTCGGTGCTGTGTATCATGCATCACAAGGTATCTTGAGGCAAATGTGTCCATTTGTACATTAAGGTGATGGTCAACTCTGATCACTTGATTAAGGCAGTGTCTGCGAGATTTCCCATTGTAAACGTCCCCTTTACCCTTTGTAATGAGAACAACAAAGAGGGACAGAGTTTAAGAATAAGGAAATATTTTGTTCCCTGTCACTGATGGTTTTACCATCCATTGCTGATTCTTGCCTGAATGCACTATTAATGGGTGAAAATAGTGATTTTCTAACTCTGTCATTTCTTCCATATTTATTTTTTGTCATTCTATAAGACAGAGTTTTTCCTTCTCTCCCTTAGTATGATACAGTCTTTACTCCATTTCATATTGTCCCCGGTTTGGCAATAAGAGTTCCAAGATATTGGGTCTTTAATCTGTTTCTTTTTTTATGATATAAATGATACAAAAATAGTTAATAGAGGCACACAGAATAAAGTGGGAATGAGAAGCCAGAGAGGTGAATTCTGTTGGTGATTAGGGAAGTCTTTAGTGAGGAAGTGGTGTTGAAGTGAACTTTAAAAAAAGTGGCAGAATTTGGGACACCTGACTGGCTCAGTCTCTAGAGTATGCTGACTCTTGATCTTAGGGTTGTGAGTTCAAGCCCCATGTTGGGCACAGGGCCTACTTCATTAAAACAACAACAACAACAACAACAACAACAACAACAAAACAGAATTTTCACAGAAATGGTGGTAAGGTGGAATAGAAAGAAAAACTGTTTGAGGGGCACCTGGGTGGCTCAGCTGGTGAAGCATCTGCCTTCAGCTCAGGTCATGATCCCAGGGTCCTGGGATCAAGCCCTGCATCGGGCTCCCTGCTCAGTGGGGAGCCTGCTACTCCCTCTCCTCCCCGCTCATGCTCTCTCTTGCTATCTCTGTTGCTTTCTCTGTCTCTCTCTCAAATAAAATATTAAAAACAAAAAACTGTCTGAGAAAGAGAGCCTGGCATATCTGGTATTTGGCAGGTTATTCAGTAGTTCCAGAGCATGGTGGGGAAGCAGAAATGGAACAGAAAAACCTCTGCGCTGACTGAGCTTCCTGCTAGTCTCTGGTTAGAATTTCCTCTCCTGCCCTGCTCCTGCTGTCTGGCTAAGGGGGGGTGGGGTGGGGGTGAGAGGAGGTGTGAGGAAGGAGGGAATTCTAAGTAGTGAAAACCACAGGAGCCGAAAGCCCCGCTCAAATACTCCCTTTTCCTGATCCCTGGTGAGAGCTGACCAGCCTCTTTTCATACACTCCCAAGATGACTGGTGCCTCTCTGTTACCAAGTCTATTTTGTGCTGTTTCTATGTGTTGGATCCATCTTCCTCCTTTAAAACACAAGCCACATGTTAATCGCTTTGCTCCGGTACTCAGCACAAATGCTCAATAAATGTTTGTGGAATATACGTGAGAGAGGAAGAGGGGAGGATAGGTTGAGGTTGGTTGGGGAAGGGTTCTGAGTGTCATTTTAAGGGGTTCAGCCTCGGCCACAGGCAGTGGGGAGCTCTGGCAGCTCTTGGATGGTGCAGGCCCGATGGAGGTGTGATGTGGAGGTCAGGGAACTTGAAGAACAGTGAGATGCCAGGATGCAGCACAGGGGCCTGGGAGGAGCTGGAGCGCAACCGCCAGGAAGACAGAATGGAAGGCATGGAAACAGAGTTACCATCTCATGAATCTGGGCACTTGTCTGAATGGAGGAATCAGAAGAACAAAAGGAACTGAGCAAGGTGTTGAGATTTTTAAGGCTGGGTGATGAGACTGCCAGAGGCCTAATAACAAGCAAAATAACAAGCACAGGGACAAGGACAGAGGTTCTAGGCAGTTCCGCATGGTCCTATCTTTTTCTCATCCAGCACTCTCCCTGGATTCAAAACAGTGTGTGCTCTTGAAGGATGGTATTCTATCAAATATGATGAGAAATGAAATATTGTCTCTGCTTGAGGCAGAAAAACCGACGGTGGAATGGATTTTTTTCCATTTGGCTTTAGGAATGGTTTTATTCAAAGCAGATGCTAGTAACTATTTTTTTAACCTTGAAACGTGGCCCTATGACAGCAGCTTACCTTGAAAGAAATGGTTGTTAGCGTTCTTTTTGCTCCTCTGTCCCTCTTGCACCTTCGTAACAGAAAATTTGCTTTGCACCTGTTCCAACTGGGTTCTAAGTGATAAGCATCTTGCAAGCCCAGAAAATTGTAGTATCAAATCACAGCCCCAACTGTGAGGCAGCACTCTCATCGAATCCCCGCTGAGAGGCTTTCTTTCCCAATTCCCCAGGGAAGAATCCTTTCTCCCCTGGCCCCTTTTTCAGGCTGAACTTCAACCTAACCCTCTTTTTAGCCCCCAGCACGCATTGCTCTGGGTGCTGGCCCTGGCCCAGCCCTATGTACTCTGCTCCACCCTGGGCTCATCCGCAGCTCCGGCCTGGGTAGCCCTGGGGTCACTGGAGAGCCCAATTCTAATAATGAGGATATTTATCTTAGGAGAGGAAGTAAACCTTTCTGTTCTTTGCAGCTTATTGCTTTTTTTCCCCCCAGAAATAAATGTTAATGGAACAGTTGATATATTATCTATGGTTTGGTAAATATACATGAACATTGCCTAATAATATTCACAAAGTTGCTTTCATCCACATTTTCCTTCATAAATGAAATGCTTTGTTATAAGTCATGATTTAAGAGGGATATACCTATTTAACTGCTAGGAAAATGTAAATGTTTTAAAATACTGCCGTGTTTGGGAATACTCTTATAAGAATTTTAAATAAAAACAACAAATACTATTTAAATAGATGTATAACGTTCTAACTGGACTTAGTGTATGGTTTTAAAGGGAAAGGAAAAAATGCTGATGAAGATTGTATAACTTTGTCTTTGTTTTCCTCTTAGGTTTTTCAAATAGACCAAAGTCATTAAAAGTAATTCTCAACCCCCAAAGCCACAAAAAAGAAGCTACCCAGGTCTATTATGAGAAGGTTGAACCACTGTTGAGGATTGCAGGAATAAAGACTGATCTTACAAGTAAGTCATTTTCAGGATATAATTTTGCCATTAAAAAATCATACTTAAAGGGGCGCCTGGGTGGCTCAGTCGTTAACCCTCTGCCTTCGGCTCAGGTCATGATCCCAGGGCCCTGCTCCGCGGGAAGCCTGCTCCTCCCTCTCCCACTTCCCCCGCTTGTGTTCCTGCTCTCGCTATCTCCCTCTCTGTGTCAAATAAATAAATAAAATCTTTTTAAAAAAATCATACTTAAGGAAACAAAACAAGCTGTATTTGTTCTTAAGCCAAATTGAGGAAACTACCTGTAATCTCTAAAGCTTTTTTATGTGCTTCCATAACCTACTATAGCCAACTGCAGGATTATCACTTATTTTGTTTTCTTCATTGTGTTATTTTTATTAGAATGTCAGTATTTTCTTTAGACCCTTTTTCAGACTTTAAAAATTATTAGGAATCATTTCAAAGGGAGCTGTACATTTTTTGATATCTTCATTGAGATGTTGGCTATTTACACATTATTTCTGCAGTTTGACAAGCAATTGATTTTTGCTCACTTAAATGTTTGATGTCTTTCCATGGAAATCCTTCATTAGGTGGTTTTTGTTCTGACTCTGACCCCTGCTGGTTAGGTCAAAACTAAGCACATAACTGCTGGTTTAGATGAATTCAGAGAAGCCAGTAGCTTAAATTCATTGTCTTAAATAAGAAAGGTGCTTAGGTTTGTGCTGAGGAAAATAGAAATTTGCCAATGCTAAAGTTAATAGAAGATTACCAAAATCCTTTCCAGTTTTTTGAATTTGGTGACCAAATTCCTTTGTTTCCTTTGAGACTGATTTTTCCCATGGGGGGTAGACTGAGAAGGAAGGTTGGTGCTATCAAAAATCACAACCCCAGTTTGTCTGATTTTGTTCCTGTGTAGCTCACTAACACACAATGCAAATTTGTAGTAAATTTAAATGAAGAGTATTGCATAATAAGCCTGAGCTGAAGGCAGAGCCTTAACCTACTGAGCCACCCAAGCACCCCTAAAATTTTTTTCTTAACAAAAAGGTCAGCCACCCCAAAATTCATCTATTACAATGGAGGTTCAAGAGAAACTACCGTGAAAAATTCAGGAGGAATTTCTGACTAAAATAAAATTGTAGTGAGAAGTTAATCTTGTACCTTTGTGGCTTTTGGCTTACTTAGAGGTAATTTAAAAGGGAAAGAAACAATTCATATCTATCATTCCTCCCCACTGAAGATTTTCAAAGATTGGTGGGGGAAAAAAGTTTGAAATTCTTATTAGGATGAGACCATTAAAAGTTGAATAAACTTATTGGAAAACTTAATAACATGATTTTGTTTCATTGATTTTAATATCCAGGACAGTTTTATGTAGATACTACTATATATCTTTCAGTTGAGGAAATGCTTGTGGAATGCTTCGTGTTGAACACTACGCAGAATGCAAGATTAATAAGTTATACTACCTGCTCTTGTGTGGCTTTTAGTTTATTGGGAATTCAAATAAATATAATTGGGATGTATATACAAGAACTCTGGTATCTCAGAGGGTGATATTTTGATCAGAGGACTCAAAAGTATTTGAACTAGACCATTTTAGAGAGTCAGAGGCAAATGTGGTTTTCTGTGCATAAGCAGAATAGTAAGGGAAGGAAGGCAAGCTGGCAAACACATACGTGTGTGTGTGTGTGTGTGTGTGTGTAACCCATAATATCTTTGGAATTCTTTAATTTGCTCTGGCTTCCTCAGTTTTGACTTCATCTTAAATTTGATCCTTTCCATCATCATAAAATTGTTGCCAGTGGATTAGATCCTTCTTCATTCAAATCAAGTGGGATGGGGAGAGGTGTGTGTATGTGAGAGATCCAACATGTTTTAATACTGAGCAAGGATTAAAATTTTCTGTCAGTTTGTCTTACAATGTGTGCCCAATCTGGAGCAATCACTCTCTTAACTCTTAAGACCCTTCCCATGGGCTGGCAGTAGGACCCCCTTTTCCTGAAGGCTGAAAATACCTGAACTGAATCTGGGCTCTATTAGGGAGAAAATAAAAAAGGCCAAAGTGGCTTCTGGGAAGGCTCCCAACTATGTACACTAGAGGAAGTCTAAATCCAGATTCCGGACTGATGTTTATGCTGCACTCAGTAGTTTACTCATCATATGTTGATCCAAAGTTGGTGTCAATTTTTTATCATAGCTTTGTCATCTGTTTTAGCAGAGATGATTCTGCCAAGGGAATAGGGATTAGGAAGGAAGAGACAGAGCTTAGAAGAAAGACTGGTGCATGAAGAAACCTGATGGAAGGCAGAGGAAATGATAAGAATGTGCTTGCTTTCTTTTGTATTGAAGAGAAGAGTTTTATGTCCTAGGGCTTCTTCCCCCCCCCAAATTTGTAAATAGTTGAACAAAAAAACATTTCATAAGACAAATTTAGAATTTTCTTATATATTTGTGCAGAATGGCTAATTATTAGCTGCCTAACACTCCTCCTACAGGCAAAATTATAAAACTGCATCTTTTGCGTATAAAACCATTTTAGTATGTATATTAGCTAAATAATTTATATTTTAAAAGTTTGCTATTTTGTGCGAAGGACTGAACAAACATGTGGATACTTGAAAAGCTTTAGAATCTTCCTGCCTCTCTCACAGTGTAGTTCTGTAGTTTGAAACTACCTTGTATATCATGAAGTGCTGTAGAAAGATGGTCATAATGCTGTGCCTGTCTGTTTCATAAATTATGTAATAGATTCAATTTACACCTTGAAAGAAAAAATATATGAAAGAGTAAAACAGAAAGGTACATATTTTCTGCATGTCCAGTGTGACCATTATTTTAACATATCTTGTGTGCATTGCTGTGTCTAAATGGAATATAAATTACATAATAAATTCTACATGATGATAAATTCACTAGGAGATAGTGCTTAGATAAATGAGGCAGGATTTGAATAATTCTAGCTAGATATGTACATTTTAAAGGATTTTTTCTATCAGTTTCTTTTAAAAATGAATAGCAAAATTAATAGTTGGACTAAAAAATGGGTAGAGGATCTGAAAAGCCATTTTCCCAAAGAAGATATATAGATGGCCAACTAGGTGCATGAAAAGATGCTCAGCATCACTAATCACCAGGGAAATGCCAATCAAAACCACAGTGAAATATATTACCTCACATTTGTTGGAATGGCTATTATCAAAAAGACAAGTGTTGCTGAGGATGTGGAGAGAAGGGAACCCTTGTGCACTGTTGGTGGGAATGTAAGTTGGTGCAGCCACTGTGGAAAACAGTATGGAGGTTCCTCAAAAATTTAAAAATACCATATGATCCAGCAATTCCACTCTGGGTATTTATCCAAAGGAGAAAAAAAACACTAAGTCAAAAAGATAAAAGATAGCTGCACTCCCATGTTCATTGCAGCACTATTTACAATAGCCAAGACATGGAAGCAACCCAAGTGTCCATCAGTGGATGAATGGAAAAGAAAATGTGGTGTGTATATATATGTGTGTGTGTGTGTGTGTGTGTATGCACACACATAGACACACAATGGAATATTATCTGGTCATTAAAAAGAAGGAACTCTTGATGTTTGTAACAACATGAATGGACCTTGAGGGCATTTTGCTAAGTGAAATATGTGAAAGATAAATTACCATCTGATCTCACTTATATGTGGAATCGTAAAAAAAAAAACAAAAACAAACCCCCAACTGAACACATAGGTATAGAGAACAGATTATTGGTTGCCAGCAGGAGGTGGGGAACGGGAGAAATGAGTGTAGGGTGTCAGGAGGTATAAAATTCCAGCTTGAAAAAAAAAAAGAATCACCACATTAATAAAAATATACTTTTCCTTTTGGTTACTGCTGAAACCCTAACTGCTTCTGAATATAGATCAGCGAGCGTCTTTGAAATACTTGAGCTGAAGTTGCTTCCCAGTTCTGCTACCATCACCAGCACAGTATCTTATTTAATAATGGTATCAGAAAAACTTCTGGAAGAACTTAGAACGGAATTATTTTTTTCTAATAACTTGTTGGCATAGGAATCGAAAAAGAGCATGAATGGTAAGCCCAAGCTGGCCTTTGATACCATGTCTTTATCTTTCTCCCCATAAAGAGCAGACTTTAGGAATTACATTGTTGAAGGTATGAGAGTGTTTGAGAGATCATAGATTCATAAGATAATTCATAGAACAGTATGGTGAAAAAAGGCAACAGAGAAATCAATCTAGAAATAACTTTAGAGGGCATTGAGCTTAATTTCCCCCATGTGGTGGAGTGTAGGTGTGGCCCTACACTCATGGATGAACTCTCAGCCTTTGCTTGGGTACCCTATGTCAGTGTCTGCCATTACTGGATAATATTGCTAGTCATTCTTGAGTTTAGGGTCACTGCGCCTTATGCATATTAGAAAAGGCACCTTTTTTGTGCTAACATATAAAGGTGCCCTTCTTTCTGGGCTGATTCTGCCCAAGGCCACCAGCATGTTGAGTTAGGTATACTGGCTAGATTGCAAACGTATCTGCCCCTTTGGCCAAGTGCCTTTGTCTAAGGCATGAACTGCAGGCAGAACTTGTAAGTTGAGTTTTGCCTCCTTGTAATTTTTAGAGTCAATGTTCTCTTTTGTAGTAATACAAAATAAATGTCATATCTTGTGTATAAGAGTCATTAAAATATTTGAAACAGATAATATGTCTTTCCTTCATCTCTCTTGTTCATGATAGGCAATTCCATCTCCTTCAGTCAATTTTTTTTTTGTTAACAAAGCTGCTAGACCTTATCATACTCACCATCATTATCATGGTCAAAAACACTTCTCTGAATTTAGCCTTGTTCTCTGCCAACTCAGGGCTCATGGGAGTGCCTAGTCACCAGATAATTTTTTTTTAATTTTATTTATTTATTCATGAGAGAGAGAGAGAGAGAGAGAGAGAGAGAGAGAGAATGGCAGAGGGAGAAGCAGGCTCCCAAGGAGCAGGGAGCCCGATGCGGGACTCGATCCCAGGACCCTGGGATCATGACCTGAGCCGAAGGCAGACGCTTAACCATCTGAGCCACCCAGGCGCCCTCACCAGATAATTTTTACGTCCTATCTGGCCCTTGTGGAATTGTCAATAAAGTGGAGTTTGTTGTCACTTTTTTTTTTTCCTCCTTCTAGAGTCATGAGTTTAACTTATGACACTTTTACCAAATCTCCTCTTGGAATTTTTTTTTCTCTTTGGCTCTCTGTTTCTACTTAAAGCCTTCCCTCCCTGGAAATGCCTCTTGTTATTCCTGATCTTGCCCAGCAGAAAGCTAGGCAATTTGATAAAATTGAGTCACAAAAGATGCTGGTAGGCTGGGGCATTATTTCTTTCCAATTTTACCTGCACTTTAATAAAAATCTATAGAGTACCTGTTCATGCATCATATCCAGCTAAAGAGAGATTTCTGAGTGAAAGTTTCTTTTTGTTATTCCTTAAATAATTGTGGAGGTATATGGTGAATCCTGTTTGTAATACTCAGATGTCCCGGGGTTAGAGCTTTGTCTCTGGTGACAGTGAAGACTCATCAGTGGAGGTTATGTAGAAAAAGGATAGGATCAAATACGTGAGAAAATCATTCTGGGAGAGAGTAGGATAAATGTTGGAGGCAGACCGGGGCAGAGACTATTGTAATATCCACATTAAAAAAATATTAGTGGCTGGACCATGGACATTGGCTTGAGATGGGATACTGTAGCAACAAAGACCGAAACAACTGGTCTTGACCTTGGGTAGCAAGGAGGAGATGATGGAACACAAGGAACAATATATTTGAGAGGCAGTTTGAAGGTGGAAATGACAGATTCCATTTAGAGCTAAGTCAGAAGTACCTATAGGACAGGAGAGAAAATGCCATCTCGGTATCTTATCCCATTGTAGAATTTTATCACCAGACCAGGAAATGTTTCTTTAAGTCCAAGTCTCATCTGATTTTACTTCAGCCTGTTTCCTCATCAACATTCAGCATTAAGCTCAAGACATTACTTCCCTCCAATCTCGTTGTCTTGAGGAAGTAATACATAAATTGAAGGTTAGGGTGGGTGGGGGAATCCCAGCACTGAGAACTGAGTTCAAAGCCTTGCAAAGAATGGAATCTCCAAATTTCCTGAATAGAAGGGGCATAGGGTGTCATTCTCATCAGAAAAGGAAAGCAAGTGAAAGAAAAGACTAGTAACCTTTTGAAACTGCATTTGTCTAGCAGTCTACTCCATATGTTTATTTGGAATGGGATGATTTGAATCTGGCTCTTTGTGACTCCAGGGCCCATAATATTCTGTCTAAATACATCAGTTTCTTCTACTCTATCTGAATAGTAGTCCAGATTATTCTCTATCCTTTTTCCCCTATGTTATTTTTCTTTGTAATCACTTATTACTAATTCATACTGTGTATTCATGTTTTAAAATTAGTGTCTAGTTTCTGCCTCCAGAATATGAGCTCCCTGATGCCAAGGACTTCATTCCTATTGTTCATTTTCCTAATATATTGTCATCAAGTTTCTTTCATCTTTTCCTCTTTGTTCCAGGTCACTATATTTTTCTAACTTTTTCAGTGTTACTTTTAAAATTACTCTTCTTTGAGGTGCTGGGTGGCTCAGTCATTAAGCGTCTGCCTTCGGCTCAGGTCATGATCCCAGGGTCCTGGGATTGAGCCCCACTTCAGGCTCCCTGCTCAGCTGGGAGCCTGCTTCTCCCTCTCCCACTCCCCCTGCTTGTGTTCCCCCTCTCGCTGTGTCTCTCTCTGTCAAATAAATAAATCAAATCTTAAAAAAAAATTACTCTTCTTGGATAATTTGCATCAACATATCATCAAATTCCACCTGCAAGATCAAAGAAATAGAATATTATTTAAAATTTTTTCCTGAATAAAGATAGCATTTAGCCATAACCTAATTTTAAAGCTAATTTCATATTGAATTTGAAAAGCTTTACCAAAGTAAGCTTTAGCATAGAAGCAAGATTTGATAAACTGATTCTCAGCATAAATATTTCTTCATAATATCATTATTTTCAGTGTGTGTATGTATAACATTTTATTTTGTATTTTTAAGGTTGCAACTACTTGCTGAGGTTATAAATGATCAACACAACCATTTATGATAACCTTCCAAGTTTATTAATATTAATACTTTATCCTTAGTTTTCTCATAGCCTTCTTCTGATTAGAATTCAATACACAGAAGTTTTATTCATGTGAATGCTAACAACATTTGAATAAACTGGGGGAGAATTACAATGTAATGGTGCTGGATACAGAGTGATTCTTTTAGACACCAAGACTAATAATTCTTAACAATATCTAAAAACATTGTAGGAAAAGCTTGAACCATGCCGGCACCAGGGACAGACAGGCATGAAAGATTAATGTAATCTTGCATATAATGATGCACATTCTTACACAAAAAATCCATCTGCAATGTCATGTCAGTCCGCAGAAATCTTTGATGGGTGGATACAGCTGGGCTGTCTCTTCTGGCAGCGCTGCCCCAGAAAATGCTAAGTGTGGTTGGGATGCTTGGTGCCATCTGCAGTGTGCCAGTTTATCCTGTCTCCACTGGCATTTACAGTACTTTGTAGGGCATCACGACTGTAGAGACAGCGATAGGGAGTGACAGATTCATTTCCTCAGAGGATCCGGCTCTGGTGGGTCCGCGCCACCTTCCTCCGCGGCTTGGGGTCTGTTATCATTGGTGTTGGCTTTGCTTCGTTATTTTCCCATCCAGCTCCTTCTCTTTTTTGTCGAGCAGTTCCAGATACACATTCTTCTAGTATGTAAATCTTACACTAATCCTTCAACTAATTTATTCATGTAAGGTTGCCAAAATGATTTAACATTGACTCTTCGATGCCAGCTAATATGCCTTATTTTCAAAATACTGCTGCTCTTAGGCTTCTGATTTAAAGGAAATGTGTCTTCTTTATAATATCAGGAAGGGAACACTGAACAGACAGGCACCAAGATAAATGATCTAACTGCTGTGTGTGGGATAGCCCCACGTGACTTACGTAGTTGGAACAGATATATGACCCTCTTTTCCATAAAGCTATAAAACACATCAGGAAAGTAACCCTTAACCCTCTTTCCCATGATTAAAATATAAATATTCAAGGATGAATGTTATTTTATGACCTGACCATATGTTTATGATATTATTTTGCCAAACTAAGTGAAAGAGTGTAGATCATTGTTTAAAACTTTCACCTGTTTTTGTTTTTGGTTTTTGTTTTTAAATAGTAACAGAATATGAAGGGCATGCTTTGGCACTGCTGAAGGATTGTGAACTCCAGGAATTTGATGGGTAGGTTATATTATCAATCTGTATGTGTCACATGGCTTATGTTCTGAAATGTTTCATGAGTTTTTAGCCACATATTTGGGACTTATAAATATTTCAATATTTGTGGTGAATGTAATTAGACTATTGCATCCATATCTATGTAATAACAATTAATGATGACAATATGGCATGGTCCTCTACCTCTCAGGATCAGGCATAGGAGAACAAAAGGAGAAATCTATAAGTACTGGGAAATCAAAGAGGACCACGTTTTACTGACCTAATGTGCATATATTTGGATCTGTAGTCCTTAATTCTTGGCTTTAACCATGTATCTAGTAAAGCACTAATGGAAGGTCATATGGTATAACTGTATTGTGATCCTCTTTTGCAAATTTGTTGATAATGTTAATAGATACCCACTGGTTCATTTGGCTGTGATTGCGGGTAAATATTTTATACATACAAATATATTGGGGTGCCTGGGTGGCTCAGTCGGTTAAGCATTTGCCTTCAGCTCAGGTTATTATCTCAGGGTCCTGGGATCCAGCCCCATGTCAGGTGCCCTGCTCAGCGGGGAGTCTGCTTCTCCCTCTCCCTCTGTCCCTTACCCCCCGCTTTTGCACTCACTCTCTCTCTCTCTCTCAAATGAATAAATCTTTTAAAATATATAATTTTCAGTATAAATAAAAGATGCTAGGGGCGCCTGGGTGGCTCAATCATTAAGCGTCTGCCTTCAGCTCAGGTCATGGTCCCAGGGTCCTGGGATGGAGCCTCGCGTCAGGCTCCCTGCTCAGCGGGAAGCCTGCTTCTCCCTCTCCCACTCCCCCTGCTTGTGTTCCCTCTCTCGCTGTGTCTCTCTCTGTCAAAAAAATAAAATTTTTTAAAAAAGATGCTAATTTTAATTCTTTTATAATTTAGTGGCTACCAGTTAAGGGTGCTCTCCAGAGTAGGCATTGGAAACTGTCATTTGCTATACATTGCTGGAGTGTGTAGAAATTGTTCACTGTTATGCAGACATTAGAAATGAGGCAAGTGAACATACTTTAATCATTTTTTTAAAAAGTAGGCAAATCAATTTGCTAAAGTGGTGGATTGATGTGTTAGACAAAAACATTTTAGGGAAGATTTTTTACAAGGGTTGATTTTTCAGAGTTTTTTTTTTTTTTTTTTTTTTTTAAAAGGATTTTATTTGTTTGAGAGAGAGAGAATGAGAGACAGAGAGCACGAGAGGGAAGAGGGTCAGAGGGAGAAGCAGACTCCCCTCTGAGTAGGGACCCCGATGTGGGACTCGATCCCGGGACTCCAGAATCATGACTTGAGCCGAAGGCAGTTGCTTAACCAACTGAGCCACCCAGGTGCCCGATTTTTCAGAGTTTTAAAAGGTGGCAAAAATGTGAATTATCTGTGTCACATGGTGATGGGCAGGAAACAATATAATATCGGGAAGGACAGTTGTGTCTTTGAACGGTAGAGTTAAAGGCTTTGCTCTTCCCAAAGAACTATTAGAATATTTTAGGAAGGAAAGTGATGCAATCACAATGGGGCGTTCCCAGGGTTGTTTTTCCAGAGATGCTTAATATTTTTTGATAAGAAGCAATATTAGAGGATGAAGAAGAAAGTTTGATAAGTAAAACAAGACTTTTCAAAAAGAATTTGAGAGGAACAAATCTAGATGGCGCCATTATATGAATATTGAGGATGAAGAGTATGGGGTAGGAGATTACTTAAGAGCTTTATACTTAAAGCTAGACAGATTGACTAACAGGCTACGTTTGGCAAATTATCTTGCAAGTATACAATTTAAGAAAAGTAATTGGGGGAATCAATCAGCACCCACCAGCTACCGCTTTAATGTGCTGCATAGTCCTGAAACACAGCTTGTGAGTATCTAAGTGTGGCTGTATTGCAAATAAGTCCTTTCTTCAAAACATGATTATATAAATAATGAGGGTAACAGATATCAGAGATATTAGATCTGGTCTTGCCCATCAGCATTTTGGAAGTGTTCTGTCAAATGTGCTATGTACAAATAAATTCCATTGGTAATTATACTATGTAAGGATCAAGAAGAATTTTGCAGAGGAGCGCCTGGGTGGCTCAGTCAGTTAAGCCTCTGCCTTCAGCTCAGGTCATGGTCCCAGGGCCCTGGGATCGAGCCCCATATTGGGCTACCTGCTCAGCGGGGAGCCTGCTTCTCCCTCTACCTCTGCCCCTCCTCTCCGCTTGTGATTTCTCTCTCTCTCTCAAATAAATAAATAAATAAGATCTTTTAAAAAAATTTTGCCGAATGACAAAAGACTCAAGTGCAGGATAGTAATTTTTTTTTCTCTAACTGGATATACTCAATTCTGGTTTATTTCACATGGCAGGTGTTGTTATTTAACAGCGTGGCCCTAAAAGTTATGCAGATCTTTTAGTTATTATCCACATTTTTTTAACCACATGGTTTGACCTAACTACTCTATGATTTAAGTTTAGTGATTTAATGGTTTCTGAATTCCACAGCATGCTGATTTATTTAGGACTTATAATAATTTAAAATTTCTATTGAAAATCATCTATTTTCTAAGATTCCTTCAATATCTCACTTATTTTCATGGGCCTAGTTTTTCCACTGGGACTTGGGAAAACTTAGTAAAATGGTCATTTTAAGTCACTCCACTTAGAATTACATGGATTAGGTATATGAGGAGAAAAATGGAAACATAGTTTCTTTAGACACTTTAAGAGAACAATTCTTTGCATGAATTTTTTTAGATTCCACATATGTGGGAAATCATATTGTATTTATCTTTCTCTAACTTACTTCACTTAGTGTAATATTCTCTAGGTCCTTCCATGTTCTTGCAAATGGCAAGATAAAAGAACAGAGGGGTGGTTGCTGGAAAGGAGGAGGATTGGGGATGGGTGAGGGAGATAAGAGGTACGGACTTCCAGTTATAAATAAGTCAGGGGGATATAATGTACAGCATGAAGATTAGAGTCAATAACAGTGTATTGCATATTTGAAAGTTGCTAATAGAGATCCTGAAAATTCTCATCGCAAGAAAATAATTTTCTTGTAACTTTGTATGATGATGGCTGGTAATTAGACTTATTGTGAAGATCATTTGCAATGTACATAAATAACGAATCATTGTTATTAACCTGACACTCATAGAATGTTATATGTCAAATATATTTCAATTAAGAAGAAAGAACAATTCTCTAACAAGTGGAAGCATTTGAAAATGTAATGCACTCTGTTTGTGAGTTCCCTGTTTCTGAACTTGTTCAAAGAGTGGCTATTGGAGCACTTCTTGAGAAAGAGGTACAAATGATTTAAGGTGGGGATAAGCTACCCCCAAGATTCTATGGTCTTTTGATGAGAGAGGGGATTCCTTCAAGAACTTGAGCCTGAAGCATTTCTGCCTAATTCAAGTGAAGCTATTGATAGGGTGTGACTAGAAAATCAACTAAAGGTTTTTAGACACAGATCAAAGAGTTTAAGATCCAAGAAATATTCTGTGTATACTATTTAATAAAGCAAAATGGTTTGGTAAATAATGTTTAAGAAATGTTACTTGCTAAGATTTTGAAATTTTTTAACAAGTTACATATGTTTCTATGAAGACCCACTATGACAAAGCTAACAGGAACAAACACATCTATCAGTCCTCAAGACCGCTGTTGTGCATCTCCTGTGTATTCTAGCAAACACTCTGAGATCCGTCGCTCAAAATTGTGGGAGTGTCACTTTTTATTTGCCCCCTATTTTTACTATGCATGGAGAGAAAGTTTGTAAAGGCAAAGAAAAGAGTACTATCAGGTGCATAGACTTGAAGCAGCAACGGTTGAATTTACAAGTGTGAACGTGGTTAAGCTAATCTATAGTTCTTATGCAGTAATAAATATACTAATATTTTCCTATTTTGTTTCAGAGTTTTTATTTGAACTTGTTGAATTAGTTTTTCTCTTCTTTTTTAAATTTCACCATGAGCTAGACCCACACTGATTTAGACATTATTTGACTAACATTGACATTTGATCACATCGACCATGATATCTCTATACTAAGGTATTTTTTAAAAAGTACCTCTTTTCAGAAAAGAAAAAGTTTAAATCAAAACCTAGTAACCTATTAAACATCTCAAAGATGATACTGGTTTGTAGATGAAGATACACTCATTTAAAAATTATATAAAGAGAACTTTTATGAAGAGAAATAAGTTATCAGCCTCTGGTTATTCTTTTCCAGACAGAATCATTGTATTTGGGGTCATGGAAAGAAGGAGTTTACTTTTTCTGAAAATATAGGAGGTACCACATGCAAAGGATTAGTTACTAGGTTTATGTTTAGGGTAACTCTTAAGTGTGGTTAAATTAACACATTATAGAAGGTTATGGGTAGGTGTTTGCTTTGCCTTTTCTTGTAATGTCCAGACTCTTGTGATGTGTTTGCGTTAAGTATATCCCCGAGGTTGAGTAACTAGTATTCCTGGAGGTGATCTTAATGATATAGTAGTTATCAACATATTTTTTTCTTAACACATTTAATTCCACGTTGATTCTACTGGTAAACTGATTTTCAAAACAGTAAACCTCTCGTAAGGTGATTTTCATTAGGTTTCACGTATTAGGAAAGGATTATAATACATGGAATAGTAGTAGTGCAGTCTCTAAGGCTGAATTGTGATGTTTCAAATCTTTCTTCTGTTACTTATTATGTAATGACCTTGGAAAAGTTACTTAATCTTTCTGTGCCTTAGTTTCCTAATTTGAAATTGAAGGTAAAAGTATCTACTGCATATGGTTATTGTCCATATTAAATGTCCAAATTAAAGGAGTTAATACATGGAGGGTGCTGAGAACAGTACTTGGTACATAGTAATTATTCACTAAATGTTACTTTATTGTTGTAATTATCATTTGTTAAAGTTTCAAAATGTAACATAAAATGTGTTATGACAAAAATTCAAAGGCAGAGTATGTTCACAGAGGAGCCATCCTGTCAGTTCTAGCGATGAGTTAACATGTACAAGATGCTATAACTGGATGCAGGATCCCAGGGGTCAGATGCTGGCATACTAAATGGAAAAGTCAGGTTTATCTGTGCTAAGTTATATGTTTTGTTGGAGGACTTCATGTGCTCCTTTTAGATCACACACACCTCAACAGGTAGAAGGGGCATGAATCTCATAGTTATAATTAAGTTCATAGAATGTTGGCAAATTTCTGAGATCTTTGAAATCCTTAGACAAAGTTCACATCAAACCGTGGTTCCTCCCTTTATAAAGATGAGGCTAATGCCTACTTCATAGAATTCTGAGGATTCAATAGAACTAACATATTTTCTGACATAAAGTCAACCCTCAGTAGATAGAATCACCTTTTTTTTCTGAATCAGTGACCACATGATGAACCCCTAGAATACTTTCAGACATAAAATAATACCCCTAGCCAAAAATGACCTGGGTAATATCCCACGTCCTGGAGTCTCTGATAACTAGGGTGGACCTGGACCTGCCAGACTGTGTGCAGTCATAGGGCTGAACCTCAGCTATGGGCAGGGGCTGGAAGGCTGAGAGCGAGGTGTGGGGGAGTTGATGAACCCTCAGGCTCTGGATTCATCAACGTCTAGAGCTTCTTAAACTTAAGGAACCATTTAAAATCTGGTGACCAGGGCACCTGGGTGGTGCAGTCAGTTGAGTGTCTGACTCTTGGTTTGGCTCAGGTCTGATCTCAGGGTCCTGAGATCGAGCTCCACCTCAGGCTCTGTGCTGAGCATGGAGTCTGCTTGAGTTTCTCTCTCCCTCTTCCTTTACCCCTTCCTCCCGCACGTGCTCTCTCTCTCAAATAAATAAATAAATCTTTAAATAAATAAAACCTGCTGCTCATGGTCCATAGGCTGTTTTGTTTGGCACGTAAAGGTTTTAAATCTATTGAATGCTAGTTGATAATATTGACAAATGAGACTCACTCAAAAATCAGAATCTGTGGCTTCTCTAAAAAAATCAGAGGATGAAAAATCTCTAGAAAAATCTGGGCGTGCCTCCCAGATGATGGGCTGAACTGAGAATCTGTCCCTCCTTTAGACTCAGTGTGCTCTTCCATTTTTGCTGGGCCCTTAGAGGCCTTGAGTTATGACACCTGCTTTCAGTAACACAAACTCTTCCTCCTTTTGGGTGAATTAATGTGATTTTGCTACTTAAGATTATTTTACATCTTTTAAATACAAATAATTATGAAACAAATTTCTGAAATCTTATATATTACTTTCATGAATTTCTACCACCACCTCTGCTATAGTCTACTTACCATGAGGTCTTAAAAAAATTATTAGCAGTACTGACTAGGCTCAAAAGGGTAGTAACGATAATTTTAAAAAGTGCCATCTAGCAGTAACGTCCAAAAGATAAAAAACAGTTCAGGTTTTCAATGACTATATTTATATACTAATGATAAATAGCTTCTTAAAATTTCATATTTTACATGACTTTTACAGTTGTCTGTCTTTTCAGAGCTATATTGAAAATTAGCAGTTGGTTAAGTGAATTATTGCACATGACTGTTAACATAAAATGAGAACAATATACTTTTGGATATTAACAGAGCAAAACGCAGGTTTGATGTAATTAACATGGTCAAATGTTTTAATGTCTCTTAACCCACTTAGAAATATTTTGTCTATGGGGTCATCGTGTAGGTATTATATCTGTGAAGTAAACTTTACCAGTGCAGTGCTAGAGCCTTCTTACTCATTGACACTTAAACTAAAATGTTGGAAGGTGCGTGTGAGTCACCATGCACATGAATATGTACGGTTACTCTTTTGAAGTTGAGATTTCAGGAATTATTACCAATTATTTTAAAGTGTTGCATTCTTAATTTCTTGTTTTCTAGTGTCGTCTGTGTTGGTGGAGATGGATCTGCCAGTGAAGTGGCCCATGCTTTGCTTCTCAGAGCCCAGAGGAATGCTGGGAAGGAAACAGGCAGCCCCCTCAACCCTGTCCGAGCGCAGCTTCCACTTGGGTTAATACCTGCAGGCAAGCAGAGGGCCATGGATTTGTTAAATGGAACCTCTCCTCCTCTCTTTCTCTGTTTCTCTTCCTAACCTAGACAGTGTGACACAGAGCTAAATGCACAGACTTTGAATCTGAAAGACCCAAGTTCATCATCTCCACTATAGAATGGGAGACTTTGGACAAGTTATTTAATTACTTTGAGCCTCATTTTTCTAATCTGTAAAAAAGATACACATATATTCACCTCATTATAAGGTTATGGTAGTATTAGATGGTATATGTGGAGGAATTAATACATAGTTAAACAATCAACAAATGGGATAATTATTATTCTACCTTCCCCTATTAAGTCTAATGATCGCACAGCACCAGGTCTGAAATTTCCCAACAGGGCCACTTGAATCAAGCTGCTTACAATGTCACATGAGGTAAAATGTGGAACTCTCATTATCGGAGTATAAATACATAACCTGGAGTTGAAAATGCCAAAAAGATTCATTCTCACTGCTGTGTTGCTAGCAGCTAGAATAGAACGTGACATAGTGAACGCTCCATAGTGTTTATTAGGTGAATGAACGTAAAGAAGACGTTAATAGAGCTAGTGCCACTTGAATTCGGCCTAAAATGGGTAGGATCTGGCCTGATGAGGATGAGTTATTTTCTTCATTGCAAAAATAATCAATGCCAAAGCGAAATCCAGGAGCTTGGAGAAATAGAAAATGGGCCATTTGTTGGGTGATGACTGGATCAAAATTTTCCCAAACCGTGGTGGCTCCGGACTCCACAGGGAGGGGTCTGAATTGTGTTTGATAAACAGTAGGGAACAATGGGAGGTTGAGAGCAAGGGAACACCCTGCTGGGAGCCTTTGTAGGAGAATTTGTGAGTAGGGGAAGGGAGGGGAAAGCCCTGAGAGCCTGGGAGAACAGCTAGAGCAGCCCTGGCTTCCAGAAGAGAGGGAAACATCTTTCACAAGTTTATTACGTTATGCCAGTCACTCCTCCCAAATTATTTAAACAAACAATAGTGATGGAAAGAGATTATTTTTTTTTCATTTGGAAAACCTCACACGATATTCTCTCTACCAGAAAAGCAGAAACAATGGTTGTTTCCTATGAAAATAGGAAATAATATACCTGGTTAAAAAATTCAACATTCTATCCACTTGATAACCACATTCATTTCGTACGGATTTCAGTATATTTAGTATTGTTCTTTGACAGAGAACAAAAGATATACAAATGCTCTTTTAGACTGTGAAGTCTTTCAAAAAAAAAAAGAATTTAAAAGGAGACACATATTTGGATATATCCTAATAATTATAAAGCATATAGAGAAAAACCTTTGCTGGTCTTACGCAGAAGAGAAGAAAATAACCTCAAATGGGAAAAAAAAGATGCTGGCAAAGAGGAGCCAACCGCTTTCACCATTTCCTGTCATTTTAGTGGCTCTGTCTATAATGGTGGAGCTTTTCAGCATTTCTTTCCATGCCAAGTGGATGTGCTTAGGTCATTTCCTCTTCACTAGCAGATACACTCCCAAGGTCACTTATTAACTGCTGTCAATCAAAAATGAAAAGGTGGTTATCCTTACAGGTACGCATTTGACATAAAGTGAATAGTTAGCTAGCAAAACTGGTGGTCATGCTTACCTTTTTAATACGCCATTTGAATGCACTTTGCTTAGAAAATACAGCCTGTTGCCAAAATTGTGGTTGTTGTATAGGAGTTCCAGCTTATGGATTCCATAAGGAAGGGGGGAGTCATGTGCGGGATATACTAATAGGAGGACTCAATGTCCCATCAGGGCTTTGATAGAAAATGGTAACAAGAGTGAGGCAGGAAGTTTCCAAGCTGCACACAGAAGACAGTCTGCCTTTGAAGCCATTTGCCTCCCGGAGAGAGACACCCAGAGGGAGAGTGTTTAGTAAATTACTCCACTGAGCCAACAGACTAAGCCGCTGAATTATGGTCAGACTCAAATGGATCAGTTGTGGGGAAGCCTGTATTTGAACTGCTGGCCAGTAGCGATGGTGTGTGTTGCCATGGGAACTGGTGCTAAGGAACTATACAGAGATTCTGATTAAAGGGGTGGGGGAAGGATAGAGGAAAAAGCCAGAGAGGACATAAAAATAAAAAAGCAATCCAGTTGTTGTAAAACAAGGCTCAATCCACATACTGATGGCTGCGAACCATATATTCCTATAGCGTTCACATAAATAAATTCATGCTTTCCAATTAATTTGAGGAGAATAAAATATTGCCAAGGGACTGTTAATTTCTATGATATTTCAGGCAAAGAACCAAAGTGTAGGTGCAGTTTTCATGAGAATTTTAGATATGCTTGACTAGGAAGTCATTACATCACATTTATCTGTTTGGATGTGGGAGACATTAACGGCCTTATGAATATTCATGGTGTCTGGTTAATTAAGTTAATTGTTCTGCAGAAGTGCTTGCACTTCCAAGGACAATTTTTTTCCTTTTTTCTTTTTGCCTCCATAGTTTCTGCCTGGTACTTTCATCGCTCATGCTTTACATGAACTGCTACTTTTGTCCTTACCCTCTTTGTATTTGGCACATTTTAGCAGGTCTGGGGAGGTGGTGGTGAGCAAAGTTGCTGGTAGCTGTTAAGAAAAATAACTTTTCAGGCTAATTAAAATGTTTACCTTGAGGTAGAACATTTATAGCTTTTGTGAGAATGCTAAAATTACATGGTTGTTATTTATGTGAGCAGCATGTTCTTTTGGCATGTAGACATCTTTTCAGACGGATCACATTTTGTTTTTGGAAATTGTACTCTTTTAGATTATCCAAACAAAAATACTGAGCAATCTATAGTATTACCTTTTTATAAGCACTTTCCTCACAAACTTTCCTTTTTGATTCAGAGTATAAAAAGCTGTTCTTCAGGACTAAGGAACAGGTTAATCAGACTAGAAAATGACTAAAGTAATTTCTGGTCATGCCTCTTTGCAAACTATGGAATTAAGAACAAGTTGTCAAGGTGCAAAGCCTGAGACATAAAAATTAAAAAAGTGGTCTTTAGCAGTCTAAAAGGATTTGTGTTTGGGCATGCTTAGCATACTTCAAACACAGAGGGAATAAATGGTCTTTATTTTCTTGAGTCATGATATGTGTCATTCTCTATTGCACATGACAACATTACATTATGTTCTTTAATAGCCTTTCTAGAGGAATGCTTTTATGGTTTATTCCTAATTAACCATGGTAATGGAGGAAATGTGTTTCATGGAGTACTGTAATCCATTGATAATCCTAAATATCTCACTCTAATTATGTGGCCTCCTCCAAAACCTTTACCATAAATCTGATTGGGAAGCAAAATAGGTTGATTTGTTTCCTCTCTTCCCTCCCACCCATTCCAGATTAATTAGCAATTAGAGGACCAAAGGGCAGGCTGTAGATGGTCAAAGGATAATTGGAAAGGCTTAGGTAATTGACTCCTGGGTAAAGATCCACTGAGTAACAGGTTTCTGGACCCCTCGTTCTTAAATCTTAGGGTGCATATGAGTCACCTTGAGAACTTGCTAAAGCATGGACACCTGGTCCTCACTTCCAGACCTTCTGTTTCCAATCGTTGGAGGTGGGACCCAGATATTTGCCTTTTTAACAAGCTCCCAGATAATGTTGACGCTCCTGATTCCTAGACCATACATTCTAGATAAGTGCCTCTTCAAGTTACTGTTCATAAACAAAACCTGAGGATCTTATAAAATGCAGACTCTGATTCAGTAGATCTGGAGTGGGACCCAAGAGTCAACATTTTAATAAGCACCCAGGTATTGTCCTAAGCACCAGGGTATTGTGGCTGGACAGTGGGCCATATTCTGAGTACCAAAGGTCAGAGCATCATTTGCCCTTTGATGAATCAGTTGGAACAGGGTTAACTAATTAGGGTTGAGATGGACTTTTCTTTGAATTGGTATTACTAGAGGTCTGGAAGTCATTAATATTAGTTAAGTCCCTTATGATGATTATTTTAATGACAGCCTTGGTTGAAAATGTCTGAGTTGCCTTGGCTTCTTCAACTCAACAGCCCTAGAACACATTAGTGCAAGTGATACAAATCGAAGAGATCATGTATGACCACGAATGTTCCCAATTAACAAATCCAGGGGGCTAACCTTCATGCTTTCACAGCTCCAGGCTGTTACTGCTTTTCTTTCTTATAATCTGTAATTCAAGAAAATTTGTAGCCTCTTAATTTTAAATCCTTTTAACATCCTGGGAATAGCAGGGGTTAGTTGATATTTTCCTCTTCAAAAGAATGCTTGTACCCCAAGATCTCAGAGACACATAAATGTTATAGAAGCCTGATTTGAGAGAACTCTTTTCTTCTGTAGGCTGGTGGCAAAAATCCATGTGGATCATAAATTATCCTAATCATTATGAAAATAAATCTGTAATTCTCAAAACAGACTTTTATAACATGTTAAATACCATGGAATTAAATATTTTCTTTAGGATATCATTTGTCATATAAGAGGGAAATCCCGGGCGCCTGAGTGGCTCAGTTGGTTAAGCGACTGCCTTTGGCTCAGGTCATGATCCTGGAGTCCCGCATCGGGCTCCCTGCTCCGCAAGGAACCTACTTCTCCCTCTGGCCATCCCCCCTCTCATGTGCTCTCTCTGTCTCTGTCTCTCTCTCTCTCAGAATATCTCACTCTCTCAAAATAAATAAATAAATCTTTAAAAAAAAAAAAAGGGAAATCCCCTCTTGGATGAAAGCTTATCTCAAAGAATCATTAAAGGTATTTAGAAACTGTCTTTTGTACTTTACAGTGATTTTAGATTGTTACTATTTGGATTTTTATTTATATATTTATGCAATTGTCTCTGCTCTCCCAAGACAGCCTCAATGCTGTTGGTGCTCATTTTGTGATAGAAGTTAGAAGCCCACTCATTGAAGTTGGAGTAGACTTTGATAGAGCTAGTATATTTTGGTAGAAAATAGACATTAATAGTGGAAAAAACTGTGAGCAAGTAGATACTATAAACTATTTACTAATTTTAAGTTGTTTAAAGGCTAAACAGTGATTTGGCAACCATTTGATGTGAATCGAAGCTGTGAATGAACACTTATAAACATCCATTAATTTTTTCATTTGAACATTACGTAGTGATATCTGTGTAAAGTAAGAGCAAGTGCATAACTTAAAACATACACTACATTGATTTTACATGTTTTGAAATTGATTTGGCAGGCTCTACTAACGTACTGGCACATTCTCTTCATGGAATCCCTCATGTGGTAACTGCAACTTTGCACATTATAATGGGTAAGAATTCTTTCAAAGAAGTTCATGTTTTATAAGGCAGTTTGTTTTTTTATAAGGAAGCTTTTATATTTATATAAGGCGATTTTATTTCTGTCAGACATATCTAAGGGAGGACAAGTTCTTTGTCTTTCAAAGCAGAGAAATGTTTTACTGAAAACCAAAAGTCAGTTAGGCGAAGCTTTACCATTTGGACTGCTTCCCTTTTCAGAGTCCAGGCACTATAAAGAGCAGAAAATGAAGTTTTACTATAATCTTGTGAGAAAAAAAAATCATCATGATGGTCAGGATCACAACTTTACAATCAAGATAGAGAAAACCCATGCATCCTATTTAAGTATATCAGATACTATTGTTGGACTACACGAAGACTATAGGGCTGGGATGATGTTATTAAAAGAAAAACACAAAAAGAAAAAAAAATACACCACATAGCCACTCTAGAATTGTTATTATTCCAGTTGATGGAAGGTCTGTAAACTCAGATAAGTACAATGCAAAACTGTTAAATCTAAGTTTACTTTGCACATGTACTTCAACTTGACTTTCTTAACCATGTTTTATATGAAATAACAATAAGCTGCTTCCTTAGTACCTGAAAAAGTTACAAATGGCAGTTGTAGTAGTTGTAGGTTAAGGGAGATGAAGAGAAAGCAAGGATATTTATCCTGGTATGAAGCTGCTCGAGACCTTCTATAAGTAAATAGGCTCTTCTGTGTTTGCCATTTTGACAACTTCCCCTACTCCTCTCACTGCTTGACTAATATCCAACATGATGTTCAAGGGCACACACAACCAGTTGATGTCTGCACTTTTAGCACCACTGGAAAGCTTCTTCGCTTTGGGTTCTCAGCCATGTTTGGCTTTGGTGGAAGAACTTTGGCCCTGGCAGAAAAAAATCGATGGATGTCACCCAACCAACGAAGGGATTTTGCGGTCATGAAGGCACTGGCAAAACTTAAGTAAGTTTTTTTTTTTTTTCTTAAGCCAAAAGTTTTGTATCTTAGAGTACATGAGTGTTAATAGCAAATTTTTCTGTATTTTTAGGCCTGAAGACTGTGAAATAGCTTTTTTACCGTGTATTAGCTCTCACGATTTACAAGAAAGGTAGGTAAAGAGCTCAAGGTGATGTAAACATCTATATCTTTCTTTAAAGCATGGAACAGTTTGATATACACAATTTATTAGTCTTGTGATCTTTGGTTGTTTTTCGAAAATAGTAGCAAAGGATATAGAGTAGTGAAGTTCTAGTAGGCCGTGTAGTTTGACTTCTGTCTTCAGAAACAACGATTCACTCCATCCATCCATCCATTCATCCGTTCATTTATTCAACAGCCTGTTTATTGAATACTACATACCAGGCACTTTGGATACAACAGTAAGCCAAAAAACAAACAAAACCCATGGTTTTTGCCCTCAGAATTTCAGTCTAGTGTGGAACACAAACATTACTCAAAGCCACACAAAGCAAATGTTCTAGTCTTTAAAAGAAATGGAAAATCATTGTTATGGATGATACCACCTTTAAATGAATTAGCACAGTATAGTGCAGTAATGGAGTATACTCACATATTTTTACTTTATCTAATCTAAGAAAATATTTAACATACTAGGTTCTTGAAGTTTCTCAGTTGAATAGATGTTATTTTTTGTGTGATGTGGTTTTCTTTGTGTTCTTACTTTTAGGAAGGCAGAAGGATCTCCCAAATCTGGTAAGCTTAAAAGTACCTCCTTGAGAACTGAGCCAAGCTCTGTTGACATTTTGCTCTGGTGAGGGAAAGTAACCAATCTCTTCCATTGCCTTTAGCCGGCAGTGATCAGTGGCAGACCATCCAGGGTCAGTTCTTGAATGTCAGCATTATGGCAATCCCTTGCCTGTGTTCAGTGGCACCTAGAGGCTTGGCACCTACTACCAGGTTAGTGAGTATTTTTATTGAATCACTGATACTTTTCTATAGACCAGTTTTTTTCTTTTAGAATACCTTGCTAACTTTTGGCTGGCTAGAATATTATCAACAGGTAGTGTCTTTTGGACTGTGATAATATTAGAGATCCTAAGGGATTTAGCATCAGAGTAGGCTGAGACCAACTGTTAAACTGGAAATGCTAGATGATCACTGATTTCTTCATATTAGGAGGCTAAAATATTTCTTGGGTTTTATTAACATGATTTTATTGTGTCATTTTTTGCCTACTTTGCTTGCTTTATTTGTGTTTGTTTACTGGTCATTGAAAACATTATATTTCTGGTATTTCTTATGACCATCTCTACTTTCAAACTGTAGAGCAGACATAAATATCCTCAGCATGAATAGCATGTACGTGGGTATATTTGATACCTTTAGTTAAAGGAAGCTGAATTTCACTTATTTATATTTAGTATGAATAGTGGTACATATGAATCTGCTGCCCACATTTTCTTGAGACATTTTATATATCATTTTATCCACAAAAATATAAACCATCTCTTACACATTCTTTTCAAGCAGCTTTCCATTATTCATCTGAAAATCTTTCTCTCCCACTCCCATAGAGAGCATAGAAGAAAGGATCATGAATGTTGTGTAATATAGTCAAATCTAGATTTTCCCTGGAAGTGGAATGAAAGAATGACTTCTGTGCTGTGGCAATTTATAACGTAATTGCAATGATTAGTTTTGTGTTCCCTGCAAAATATTTAACCAGAATGATTAACAGCTAGCAAAGGGGATGGATTTAAAAATTTTTTCCGTGGCAGTTGATATGAAGGTAATAAACAGAGAAATATCCAAAGTTAGAGAAGAAGAAAAACTATAAACTTGGGTATTAATAATCTGGACACCAGGGTCCTTATTATCTCTAGTAACTGGAAAGGAGTTATTTTGAAGGTTGTGTGATAGAGAAATTGAGCTTAATTGTTTCCTGCCTATACCATCAGAAATCCTAGATAGCTATGCACCTCCCTAATGTAGTTTTCCCCACTAAAAGTGAAAACCAGCTAGCTGACTAAAGGAGCAATGTTCTACAGGACTGGAGACAACACTTATCTAACCCTCCTTCATCTCTGACTCTCATGTTTGCTCAAGGACCTTCATGAGAGGTAGTCTGATCTTCTGGGAGTGGATTCATGCCTCTCTCAATGCTGTCCCATACAGTTTTTAGCTTGCCTGGAATTCCATTGCTTATTCTCGATAGGTTTAATCAGTATTGATGAATTTTTCGGAGGATGACTAGTCAGAGATTTCCTTTGTGGACTGTAATTAAACACTCCTTTTTTTTCTTTCTTTCTTTTTTTTTTTTCTTTGCAAATACCTTTACACACCATGCCTTGGCTGGCCAGAGGTAGTCAGAAATTTATCTTTGGAATGATTCAGGATCATTGCACAGGAAATTCAACTTCCAACTTTATTTTTTTTCCCCACAATAAAGTGTAACTTAATTCAAAATACCTCAGTGAAAATTGCTGATAGAAATTAGTGTTATTTTCAGTATCCTAAGATTAAATGCATAATATAATAAAACATTTAGAATAGTGAAGGCACATAGGGTGTGTTTCAGTGACTAATAAGTATTGAAGAGGAGACATATGAAGTGCTTTTCATGTTCATGAAAAAGTAAGCAATTTTTAAAAAATAAAAACACAAGACAGTCCTCTGAATGTGTTGGCATGTTGAGTAAAATGAACATTGGACCCTGGGAATTAAGAGATCTGGTACCAGTAATCATTTTGTTTTTCCCTGTGTGCCTTTGAACAAATCACTTAAACTTGGGGTCTTCTTTTCCTTCTGTATAAACTGAGTGAATGACTGGATAATCACCAAGGTCCCTTGCAAGCTCTAACCTGAGTTTCCATAAGATTTAAAGAGCTTTTTTTCATGTTGTTGTTATTCTTGGAATAACTTTATATTTGTCTTGAAATCAAGCTAGAAATCATTTGCACATATTTCTGCAAACTGCCTTCTAAAGCTAGATGCATTTGTGAGTGGCTTTTTTGGCACTAAATCACATCTCTAAATTTGCAGTCTCTTATATTAAACTGAACAGTTATGCAAGATTAAAATGCTCAGTCATTTAACTGCACATGTGTGCTAACATTTGTCCCTTTTATCCATCCATTGGCCCCTTTGATTTATTTTCCTATGTCACTTTGACCTGTCCATAAGTAAATATTTAAATATCGTACTGTAGGTTTTTAGAAAGTGTTGAACAATTTGTTATACCACTTGTATTGCTATTTTACACACGATTCCACATTTTGAATCCCTAAGTAAATACATTGGATTTTAAATGATGTCTTGTTAGGTGTATAGGACGCATGATAGTTCATTTTCTAAAAAAGCCCTTAAATTAAGAACTTACAGAGAAGGAAGTCAGTCGCTTAATAAAACTAATTCGAAGGGCTGTGCCATTTAACATGGCAAGATAAGATTTAAGAATTTTAGGTAACTATAACGTGACAATGATTAATCTATCTTGCCTAAGACTTCTAGTAAACGTGATACTTGTTAGAAGGAATGATACAGAGTACTTTCTGTTGCAATCACTTAATAAACTTCTCAATGTCAAATACAAATATTTAATTCCAGATTAAATAATGGAAGCATGGCTCTTATCATTGCACGAAACACTTCTCGACCAGAATTTATAAAACACCTAAAAAGATACGCCAGTGTTAAAAATCAGGTATAGTAGATTATTTTTGTTACTTATTTGCAAAACTATTAATCATGGAAAGAGAGATGCTGCAAGAGTTGACATCAAATCCTGCCTCATAAGAAGGCATTATTTTCTTAATATATTAATCGTTTTCCTTCAGTTTGTGGTTCATCCAAATTTTGGAAAAGTATCTATCATATTAGTATAGATTATCCCTTTCTGAGCTATCTGTTGGTGAATACATACATTTGTGTGTGTGTGTGCGCGCATGTGCATGCAAAGAGAAAGTAGAAAATGTGTTACATTGAAATGTGAAGTAAATTAAAGAAATAATTATATACTCAGCTGTTCTTCAGGATGAAAAGTAGTGAAATCTGAGATTTTTAGCCTTCTCGATGTTATGACAGCGGACTTTCTCTGAAGTTAAGCCCTTTAGATTCTCCTGCCATTTATTTACAGATCAGCCTACTTTCACTTAATTGAAATAGATTTGCAGACCTATATTTAAAAACACACCACTTTTATACAGTCATTATTCTATTCAGAACTAGAACGTGTGGTTGCGTTTTTGGAGACAGATAAAATTGTATTTCCCCTTAAGGGATTCGTTTTAAAGAGAAACAATAACTATTATAAGCCACATTCATTCTTTTGGCAGAGATTTTGACCCAGTTTTTAGGAAACTGATCCAGAAATATGTGAATTTCTGAAATTGTGAGTCTTGAACTACATCAGTATGCTTGCAAAAAAAAAAAACAACACAAAAAACAAAAACACCCTATAGTCTCACTACTTATAGGTATAGAGCTGTACCTGGGTGTAGTTGGAAAGCAGAAACAGGAGTAAGGGCAGAGTAAATCCAGCCAACCACTGGCAGCGGAATCTTGCTTACGTAGGTGGCATTGCAAGGCTCACACTTTTAAAATTATACACTTTCATAGGCAGTCTTCATGAAGTTTCAGTTCTCTTCTGCCTACTACATTATTTGATCAATGTTATTGAGAAACCAACTGAATGAAGTCTTTAGGAAATTGTATCACAAACATTAATAGTATCTCTTTCCTTAAATACAAATCTCAAAGTAGACAAAAGCAGACAAAATGTAGGTTGTGAGCTGAAGTTATAACTTTACGTGTGTGTGTTTGAGGAAAGACGGTGATTGTTCAAGTACTATATACCTTTTCAGATGTTATTCATTTTGTTGGCAGTGTTAGTATTTTTCTTAATCTACAAACAGTGCATGTTCGTTATTCTTTTTTCCTAAGTCAGAAAGTAGAAACAAAACAATATAAAAAGGTCTCAAAATTAAATATTCCAAGAGCTATTCAGGGTCATTACCTTAGTGTAAACTTCTTAATCTTTCCCTAGTAAACATATGTGAGAACCTCAATGCATATTAACCTGAAGGTACTCATCTTGAGAAGCTCTATATTTATTTTAGGAAGGTACCTATTGCACAGATTATTTATGGTAATTCTCTTTTGGGATTGCCTAAGGGGCAAATTTTAAGGTAATTTTTTGTAGGATCCCCAAAGTCCCATCTAACAATGTGGCTTCATAGGTAATGAATTTGCTGGGATGCATGGAGCTTCATTTGGTGAAGGATGCACATGAAAACAGGATTTAAGATAATAGACTTACTGGTGGTGGCCGTCACTTCTTGGCTTCTCTTGGCTAATGGCTTTATGCTGCAGGCTGATTGTTTTTATCACATGGCATTCTCCTCTCTATTATAAGGACATCAGTCATGTTGGATTAGGACTCAACCTAATGACCTCATATTAGCTCAGTCACATCTGCAAAGACCCTCTTTCCAAATACGGTGACACTTACTAAGAGTTAAGACTTCCAGGCATCATTATCAGGGATGCAAGTTAACCCAGAGTAGCCAGTTAGCAGTGACTCATTTAAAACACATTATTTTTACAAGTTCACACAGAATGAAGGATGTCCCCAAGGCTTTGGACCTGAGATGGGAAGTTGAATGCAGTGACTACTGAGCAGTTTCACAGAGAGCCTTCCTGCTTCTGCAGAGACTTCCTTGGGACCCTCTAATTCTGTACCTGTTAGAATAGTGATGCCACCCTGTAAATCCAGTATAGTTCATTGTAGTCACCCAGTGCATTATATAGTATAAACTGTAAAATCTGTCAGATGTTGGTTTCTCCATATGTAAAATAAGGGGTACTAGTGGGGGGTACTAGTTTTCTGTCAACTTTTAAAATTCTATACCTCACTGAGGTTCACATATGGAAGGGGAAAAAACCCATGTAGATAATAGTAAATCTCATGCCACGTAGATAACAGGAATAAATCTCATGCTATTTACCTAAAAAGTGAAATAAGTGAGTGGTTATTGTGCATTGCTACTAAAAAGGTATTTGGCTATCTTATTTATGAGAATACGTATTTTTTCCACTGAAGTTTCCTTAGACAAACGAAGATGGAAACTTGAAGATACCCTGCACCATTTAGAGTGGTCAGTAAGCAAACCATTGTCTTTTGACTTGCATCCATCTTTTTTTTTTTTTTTTTAAAGATTTTATTTGAAAGAGCGAGAGAGCACAAGCAGGGGGAGGAGGAGAGGGAGAAGCAGGCTTCCCGCTGAGCAGGGAGCCTGATGCGGGGCTTGATCCCTGGACCCTGGGACCATGACCCGAGCCAAGGGCAGACGCTTAACCATGTGAGCCACCCAGACACCCCTTGACTTGCATCCATCTTTAAAGTGGGAATTTGGAGGGCAAATACCCTCAAAAATCACATTAGACTGACTTCCTCTTTCCACCTTCCTAAGCTTAGAGCTAGGGTCTTCCTAACTAAATTCTAAGTGTGAAACTTAGTGTGCTTTACATCACCTAAACTAGCTGACAAGTTAATAAGTTAGTGGATTATATAAATCTGTGTCAACAGCCGGGTAGTAAAAAATCTTTAATTGGAAATGGTATGATATTGTATACAACCTCATACAGTCGGTCATAAAACAAGTTAGCCAGCTGCTAGATCTCCCAGAGAAATCGGGGATCCCTGGCATAGAGATTCAATGCTATAAAAACGTCCTCATGGATGTTGATATTTACATGCAAGAGAGAGCACAGTGAACTTTCTCAATTTGCATGAGCAGTTAAGGATAAAGCGAGCGTCATGATTATTTGCATTTGTTTTATTTAGTTCAATTTTCCATTTGTTGAGACTTACACCGTTGGAGAAGTAAAAGTTCGTCCGAGGAATCTTAGTGGATACGATCCAGAGGACGACGGACGGCACGCAGCTGCTTCAGAAAACAGTTTCCCTTGGAACATAGATGGTGACTTAATGGAAGCCACTTCAGAGGTTCACATTAAGTAAGTGTCATTATTTCACCACCTTTAATGTCCACCAGTAGATACAAAACTATTTTTTTAATAAGTCAGGGAAGCATTAAAAGATGTACAATTTTAATAAATAAGTGTAACTTTACATTTATTCACCCATTGTTACATACAGCCAACGCATTTTCGTATAGACTCATCACCAGATTTTCTGAGTCTCTATCTTGGCATTTCAAATTACCATTCTCCCTAAACTATACAGATAATGTCTACAACTGACTTTTGTCATTTTAAAAGTGGATCCAGATCTTAACCTGGTGAAAGCCCTCTGAGTTGCAGATTGTTACACTGAAATCTCTAGTCTTCATCACTTGGTATCCAGCAGTGCGCTTCTCTCAACTCTTTCCAAAGCCTTCAGCTTACTTTACGCAGGAACAATGTTACATACTATTTAACAGGGGCAACTGGTGCAGGCAAGTTTAGGACCATGCAGACTCACTGTTGGTAAGCATTATGACTCAAGGTGGAGAGAAAGGGTGCAGGAGCACCCCACTGTACGCACAATGCCTGGATGTCACAATAATTACTGGTGCTGACTTATCAGGCCCCCCAGTTTATAAGATTGCGGCTCTGCCACGAATATAGGTTTGGTAGCTATCGTTAGATTGGGATTAGGTATTATGTACCATATTCAGTAGGTGTATGGGTGAAAATGATAGGTTGATGAAATAATTATACATCTATTTTTTTACAGATTACACCCCAGACTTATCAAGCTTTATGGAGGAAGCATGGAAGAAAGGAATGATCCCCAAGTAACATGTAATTGTTTATAAAAGAAACGTACAAACTAGAATTTTTATATGAAGGACTATGGTCATGCTTTAAACATATAGGGGAAAAATTATTTTTTAAAGAAATTAAAATTGCTATTTTTGTTGCTAAAAATTAGCTTCTTAGAGCTTAAATTAAAACATGAAAAATAAATTTTGGGTTTCAGAAAGTATTACTGGAACTGAAAGTAAACATTCATATACTTAATTCCCAAGTGAAATATTTGGAATACTTTCACTTTTCAAGATTTGAGTGGAAATTCCTAGAGCCTGGTACAGATGGACGCCCGACGTTACCTAAAGATGCCCTGATGAGATACTAATCCAGATTTCAAAATCATTCCAATACCTACATTATCTGCCAAAAAGATAAGCGTTTTAAGTTGTTAGGGTACCACTTTTGGGACTATTCCCTGATTTTCTTTAAAGAAGTCTGTTAAAATCCATAACACATTTTAAAGTATGCAAAATAGCTAACTAGTGAGCTGTTTTGCTTCTGAAAGTCCTGGTATCCAGCAATCCTAGCACACTGGTTTTAGTGTACTCAGTAATGCCCCAAATGCTATCATTTCTGAATAGAAAGCCAAATTTAAAGTTCCTCAGGGATCATCCTCCACCAATGATTCCAGAAAAATCTCCTGAAAGAATTACTTTGCTTAAGCAAATCTTTTGCTAATATAATACTTTGAAAGAATACCTTTTTAAGTTTAATTAATGACTGCATTCAGGAGGCTTCATGCTCACAGATTGGGCTTCATTCCTCGAATGCCTGCACGAAGCTCTGCCCGCCTTGTTCTTTGGCCACCAGCTACTACTGTGGGCTCGTGAACAGAGAACTTAAGAGGAATTTAGACAGCCTGAGGAAGACAGCTGTTGGCAGGGGCTCCATATAGATGGAAGTCTTTTACTATTTGATCACTTCCATAGTAAAGACAGATATAGGACAAATCAGATGAAATTATATTCCGCAGCTATCAGCATCCAGTTCATATTGCATGAATAAATAGTAAAGATTATCACTAAAACCTAGATCATGGAAATTTTGATGTCACATTTATATTTACTGGTTTCTCTAATTCTGTGCAGATGAGAATGCTTATACACCCGATAAAAACACATTTCATACATACATTTGAGGAGAAAGTAGTATCTACACAAGTAGGTGCATTTGCTTAATTTGACAGTCACTATTTTACACAGTATCTAATTTATATGAAATACTGGCCTCTTAAGCATGGTCTTCGTAGAGTTTGGCTTTTTAAGAGTCATTAGTGAGGTACAGTTTTCATATTTTACATACATCAGTGTATTTATATTTGAAATATTAGCTAAAGTGCAACATTCACAATCTGTTTCAGAGTATAAATTAGAATTCTTAAGTACTATTGTTTTTATAAGCAGAAAATTTCACTAAAAATGGATTTTAGAAATTTACTTCTGGGTACCCTTGATAAAAGAATGTTTATATAGGTATGAATCCACTAGTCCTCCTATAACACATTTTTAAGAACTTATGTATATATACAGAAAGAAAGAATCCATAGCTGTATAAACAATAATTATCCAGAAGTCATTAAGCTCAAACCAGTGTATAAGGTCAGTCTGAAATTTGCTCCTCAGGCCCATAATACTCTTACATAGACTGCTGAATAAATCATTGTTGATCAAAGCCCATCATAAAGGTATTACAAAGAAAGGTCTTTACAGATAAAATCTGCTTTAAAACATTAGGGGTCTTCTTTTATTCATTAGAAAATTGAGGAACAGCTCTTCATTCTTTAAAAATATTTAGCAGGTTTTTTCCAACAAGTCTCAAAGATCTATTAGAAATGAATCATTGCCTATTCAGTGGAGTTTATTTTACTGAAGCAAGCACACATGGCAAATAATTTCTTTTAAAGGAATGATATTTCAAGTCCAAGACTTCTCCAAATGAGTTGTTTACTTCCTCAATATGATTTAATTCAGAAGCACTTTCATTTCACGGTATCTTCGAGGGATTACTTACCTTGAATAAATTGAATGCGTTAGTGTTTTTCTATCAAGAGCAGAGAGATTACTTTCCTCTCAAAGAGTAATCATTGCTTGGGATTTTTCACGTGCATTGAGACCTAATATGTCACAAGGTCATGGTAAATGAAGTACATAGAAATCTGAGCAGAATTCGGGGTTTCTTGTAAACACTGTCTTAAATTTCTTTGGTTAACCTGAGTCTCTCAATTTGAAAGAAGTCTTTAATCACCATCATTGCTTTTGCTGTTAACGTAGCTCCAGCTGTCTCTTCTGTTTTCTTCTTGTAGGACAGATTTGTACTGTCTTTTAAAGAAGCCAGCCTGAAAATAGTATTGCATAATCACCAGTGTGTATTTACAAACATATTACACTCATCAGACTCCTGAACAGTCACTATCCCATGTAGTCAATAAAATTTAGATGGGAAATATTGTGTTAAAGAGCATTATTTTTGGTGGACTGCTCGGTGACACACTCTCTCCAACACGGACATTAACAATAATATGCAGTGTTTTCTAAGAGCTTTTTAAAAGAACATCTTTCCAAACTAGTGTCATGGTTGGAATACGGGTACCGAAGTTAGAAACAGGAGATCAGTACTACATGTTCACTTGGGAATTTAAAAAGTTAACATTAAAAGTGCTGTAATAATTAAATCTAATCACTCAGGAGTCACAAAGGGGGCTTTGTGAAAATCAAGAACAGCATTACTGAGTGGTTTAACATGGGCAATTATTAAAGGCTTACCTTCCACATAACGTATGAAATCAATAAAAGTAAAATAAGTCCAAGTAGCAAGCTACTTGAAATAATCGCTATTGTGAAATGACGTTTGGGTCTTTGATGATGTAGTCCTTCAAGTAAAACCTACGTAAGTAGCCAAAATAAAGAGCCACCAGTTTAAAAACTTGCTTCTATTCCCTTTGAACCCCCCCCGCCCCCAACCCATGATTCCCACAGTATTTTGAACAACCCCATCCCCTTCTCTTGCTGGTTCTAAGAAACACTGGTAACCATTTAGCAGAATCAGCTTGCTCCATGTTTCTTCATCCAGATAATCCCTACCAAGTTCACCTCCTGAAAAAGCCATCTGCATCCTTCCCTCCCACCAGTTGTAGAAAATGCCCAACCTCGGTAAAGTATTTCTAGCCCTCCATGATCTAGTCAATCTAATCTATTTTCCTGACTAAACGCTCCAGCAATAGTTTTTCCCTACAATCCTAAGGTTTCAGGTAAAATGGTAATCTTACGTGTGCAACATTCTCATCCTTGTTTAGTTCAATAACTTTTGGATTAGGCTCTGGAGAAGCTGTTGCTCTTATTTCAAACTTGAGGGCCGAAGTCTCATCCTGTTTAAAAAAAGAACACTGTAGCCTGACTCATAGTTTTATTTTGTGAAGACATATTCATTTCTCATGATCCTTACCTACTAGCTGAGGCTTTTACAATTGATCTTCCCCAATTTATTTCACCCTTTATAGTTAATTGCAATGCAGCGCTGCCTTTGTTTCCAAAGGCATGGTCATAGTATTAATTTTTCTGGCATCATTTTATTGAAATCCTTTTATTAAACATGAATAGTTTAGGCACCTGGGTGGCTCAGTCGGTTAAGTGTCTGCCTTTGGCTCAGGTCATGATCCCAGGGTCAATTTCCCTATCGGGGAGGGGGGAGGGTCCTTGCACAGCGGGAAGCCCACTTCTCCCTCTGCCCCCGACTCCTGCTCATGTGCGCTCTCTCTCTCCCCTCGCAAAAATAAAATCTTAAAAAAAAAAATGACTAGTTTGCAGATAACTAGATATTTGTAATATTTAAGTATTTAAATATTTGATAGTTAATTTTTTTCCTAGATATTGAATCTTTTTCCCAAATAAGACTTTCTTCACCTGATAAATGTTTCTTCAAATTTATTTTAGCTAGGCTTTTTTTTTTTTCTAAACAGTGTTGTCATCTTGCTGCTCTGATAAAATACATATAGTTTAATACTGTAATGGAAAAATCTGGTACAATGCCAATAGTGCCCATTGTTGAGAAACCTGGACTTCAAGTGTATGAGGAGGCAAATTGCAAAAGTTTAAATAACTTGCTGATGATGGTCTCATGATTTAGTTTTAGCACAATTGGAACTACAGCAAACATCTCTTACTTACTTCTGTATCTGGTGGATCTTTTTTTTTCCCCCCTTGACCACTGTGTAGCAATTTTAAACATTCTTTAAACAAAATAAAACTACCATTTCTTTGGCTTACTATATACCATGCACTAAGTGCTTTTTACAAAATGTATCTCATATAATCTGCAACACCCCCGCAAAAGACATTATCCATATTTATCAGGTAAATTGAAGAACAGAACTCCAGATAAAACCAATTTTATCTCTTTTTTTAAAGATTCATTTTAGAGAGAGAATGTGAGCAAGGGGAGGGGCAGAGGGAGAGAGAGAATGCTCAAGCAGACTCCCCACCCCTCCACCCCGAGCACGGAGCCCAACGTAGGGCTCAATCTCATGACCCTGAGGTCATGACCTGAGCCAACATGAAGAGCCTGACACTTAACTGACTGAGCCACCCAGCTGCCCCCAAATCTGCATACTTATTTCTAGGAAGAAGTCCAAGATGTATTATTTATTCAACCTTTCAAAGTTTTTAATTGTTATCATATATTTGTGCTTTATTGTTGATAAATTTTGATGTTTTAGTTGATTTTAGGAAAGCCTTAGTTTTACTTCTTAAATATTTAAGCATAATTTAAAGTAGTTTAGAGGGCGCCTGGGTGTCTCAGTCATTAAGCGTCTGCCTTCGGCTCAGGTCATGATCCCAGGGTCCTGGGAATGAGCCCCGCATCGGGCTCCCTGCTCGGCGGAAAGCCTGCTTCTCCCTCTCCCACTCCCCCTGCTTGTGTTCCCTCTCTCGTTGTGTCTCTCTGTCAAATAAATAAAATCTTTAAAAAATAATAGTTTAGAAAAAGACCTTAAGGTTATATAAAATAGGTAGCCAATTTCTGCGATTTAATCAAAGTTTATAAGCAGTTGGACATGCTTTCTAAAATAAACCTTAATTATTCCATAGTCTATTTTACAGTCTTAATTATCTGTTTAATTACTAAAGCCATATCATTTAGACAGTGAATTCAGCTGAAGCGATACATGCAAACAGTTGTAGAGTTCCACTCCAAATTTTACTGTTCTTACTTACTTAAATGCCTCCTCACATACCATCCTACCTAAATAAGATGATTGTAGATAAGTTCATACAAAATCTACAAACTCAAAGTTGTCATTTTATTTTACTTACCATTTCCGAAAGGTATGGCCGGCCTTCCAACTGAATGTGAACGCTGGCTTCTTTTCCACTTTCCATTTTCCCAAAATGGCAGAAAAAATTTAAACAATATGGATCATCTTTTATGCAGAACTTGGAAAAAAATACAAAAGAGCTACATTAAAACATTTTTTTAAAGGTGGCTAAAATATTTTACATGGAATTAAACATCTCCCATGGGTGGCATTTAAAAAATTATTTTGCTTTAAACAAAACATGAATGTTTTATAAACTACAACAAAAAAGTATTTGAGCTGAAGCATGTGTTCTGAGAATTAAAACAAAGACTCCTAATCAGGGCTGTGTTAAGTTACATGTTCTATGTTGCTTTGTAAAACTTGGATCATTTGAAGGTAGGATCACTTCCTCAGGGTTTTTGGTTTCTTCATAAACTCACTAAAATGAAAGGAGTGTAAGTTAATCTCATGTCACAAAGTCTGCTCAGCTGAATACTCTACCTTGGCCTCCTAAAGGGTCTAGAACAATGTCTGGCTGGC